TACAGATATGGCCGCTGTCACCCAGTCATTAACTTCAGTGTGTACAGCGGCCACATCTAAGTGGGACACCTGATATTCCAGTCACAAGAATATATATGTTTCTGCTGCAGGAATGCCAGAACGTCCTGTGTAACGAGGCCTAATTCTTTAACCGTGCCACCAATAAAGCTGGGAAAATGGAATTTGCAATCACACAAGGGGGGTTATAATTGGGTGGGTGCACAGAGTGGCTTGCAGTGTGGGTGGGTGGCAGTTATTCCAAAGTACATTTTGTTTTTGTAGACTTTCCTGAAAACTTTTTTATTATAAATAAATGTTGTATACATTGCAGTTTAAAATTTTTTTTTATAAATAACACTAGAAATCTCCATCAAATCTCCATCAAAGCGAAATTCAGATAACATTAAAGTATAATTAAATTCTGAACCTTTTTTTTTATATTTAATCCAGATCAAACAAATATAATTTGCCCAGCAAAGTATTTGTTTACATTTTTGCTCAGGTACAGTAACCATTTTTCTGAACAGCTGGCTCTGACTCTCTTAGCTCAGCTTCCCTGAACTTCCTATTTCAGTACAAGATCACAAGTGACAAAGTAGCTGTCCGTCTACTAGTTTGGAGAAGAGAGGAGGAAGGAGGGGGGGGGGAAGGAGGGAAGTGCCTTGCTGTGGCTGTGTATATGTGTAAAGACACAGCTCACTAGCACATACAACCTCTGCTTTTAACCTTAGTGGGTAGACAGGTTTTTTTGCATGCTGGCTGGTGAGTGTGCTGGGAAACTTTTTTCTGTTTTACTGTTTGAAGCCCTTCCGTGTGCACCTTGCTGTAAAGCTGGTAACGAATTGATGAGTGCGTTTGTCATTTGTTTTGCTTGACTGATTTGGTTCAGTGACGCATGGGGGTCTCAGCTGCCGTTGTGATGTGGGGGGTCCCTTGTGCATACCTGTGCCTTGGGCTTCCTCCTGACAAACCCGCACCCAATTTAATCTTCTGCCCCATGTGCTCCAAGATGGAGACTCTCATAGTTTAGAGTTATATGGAGATGCTTGGCGTGGCTGTGCGGCTTTCATATTTTCTGCAGAAGACGTGTATCCAAAGCTCTGCTTTTAACATTGGTGGTTAGACAGGTTTTTTTGCATGCTGGCTGGTGAGTGTGCCTGGAAACTTTTTTCTGCTTTACCACACAATATCGCGCAAATGTTTGCATTGGGCTGAGTGCAATCGTGCGACATCCGCTGCAAAAAAGGGTCCTGCACGCGCGACGCGCACAGCTCCATTGACGTGCATTTGAGAGCAATATCACGTGGCAAATATGTGCGATATCGCGCTGCAAATATGCACGATATCGCGTGTAAATCCGCACGATAAAACGCTCAGTGTGAATGGGGCCTAAAACAGGTTGCTCAGGAGACCAGCTGATTCTGCAGGAAGCTACAACTTTTAAACATCAAGGAGCAGCATCCATTGTAAGTGATTTTATCAGCTTTTAAGATAGTTTAAAAACCTTTTGATTTTAAAGTAGACCTTCACACTCAAAAATAAAATTTTACAAATGCATCCCTCTATGTATGATGAATAATAACATAGACATGTCAGGTGTAAAATGCTGTGATTAATAAATACTTACACTTGCAGAGCATTCACTTCCTGCTTTGAATGTGCAAAATTACTTCAGTTTGCCAAAGCAATGCACACTGGGAATGCCTTGTCATCAGCAGAGCATTGCTTTGAAATCATCTGTAATCTCACAAGCTCTCAGGGAAAGCTATTTTCCTCCCCTGACATGATGTGCATGGTCACATGTCTAGTCACATATGCCAGAAATCCAGGAAATAAATGGAGCTAGTAATCTGCCCCTAGTTAACATGACCACTGCCAGAAGAATGGGGAAGACAAGAAAAATAAGGTATGCAAAGAATACAAAGCCGGCAATTCTCTAGAAGTATGTGTTTGTAGATTGTCATTACTAAACATTTCTAAAGGTGTGTTTGTTGTTATTTTATAGATATGGGTAAAAGGTCCACTTTAATATCACTTTAAGTAAAATTGCTTAATTTCACAAATCCTTTGTAAATGTCCTGCCATTGTAATGATTATATGGTTATGTTACATTTGCATTTTTCATCTCTTTTATCCATTTTTTATCAAAATTAAAAGACAGGAAGCACTACTTCTAATCATTAAAAGGCTGTGTGTTGTCATAAGGTTAGATAAATATTTATTGATAAAGAAAAAGCAGAAGCATCATTGATTTCTTAAAGAGTACAACTTTATTAGTAAATGCTTTGTTTAAAGAGAATCTAAAGTGGTAAATAATCTGATCTGTGTGAAAAGTTGTGTTATAAACCCGACGTTTATGTATCATATATAAATTCAAATTTACATTAATCGGGTAATCCTACTTCACCATTACATGATGTACATAATGTTCAGTGGTGAAGGCAACATCAGCAATACACTTTTTAGAGTAAACTCCATAACAAAGACCAGCCACCACCTGATATTGGTGGAGAAAAGATTTAACCACAAAGGGCGTAGGGGATTCTTTTCAGTTAGAGCGGTTACATTCTGGAACTTGCTGCCACAAGCAGTGATATCAGCAGAGAGTATTGCATCTCTCAAAAAGCATTTAGATACCTTCCTCAGAGACCATAACATACAGGGGTGCTCTTAAAAAGTAGATCACACAGGGACTCGTGAACACACATTCACATGCACAGTCACACACAGACACTTAAAGGTTGAACTTGATGGACCTGTGTCTTTATTCCACCTCAGCTACTATGTACAGTAACAATGTAACGATGTACGGGCTTTTTGTGCTTTTTGTACTTGGTGTAACAGATTAGATATGCTTTATTGCTCCTTTCTAAAACCTACCAGTCCTATCAAACTAATTGAAAACAGCAGACTCTCTATACGCATCTCAACATTTTTTTTATAGTTCATTGGTAGTGCAGTATTACAAAATATATTAAAGCAAGCATATAAAATGTGAAGGTTACATAAAAAGAGAGAATTAAAAGTTATGAATGAAAATATTTCTCCAATGAAAACACACTATAGAGACTCTTTAACAATTCACGCAGGTAGATTGATTGTAGTATAGCTATCTGAGGTGCTCTTGGTTGCATACTCAAAGACCAAGAGAAATCTAATTAAAATGTATCAAAACCCAAAACATAAAATTGTAATCTATTGAATTTTACCAGCCCTCAGATGTGGTGCCTGCAATAGTTTTATATTTTCAGGCTTTCCCGCTTTATTTTTACCTGGTGATTCTGCTAGTAACACTTGATGTCCTAGGGTGACAACACTCACTCGCCATACTGTATCTATGGAGGAGCTATAATCCTCCGTATATACCACCTCACCCAAATATAACAGAGGGTAAGGTGTTTTGTAGCTTTCTGTGTTAACCTGTGCAGGAATATAACACTACTTCAGATAACATTGCGGGTGCACAAGACACAGGACAGCAATGGATTTCTGGCAGGATCAACAGGTTTGTTTTGCACTTATCAAACATGCAGTATACAACAAAACGCTTTCAATGTCATATTTAACAGACTAAATAGGAGTAAATAAGAGACGTTCATCGTTAGGGCTTACAAACATTTTATGATGATTTTATGATGAATAAATCTGGAGGGTATACGGCAAGCACATGTAGTCACTCGCACTCCATGATATTAAAGTCAATGCTGTTTATTGACTGAGATAACACATATCTCCTTCGAGACCATGCGGTCCCGTCCTCAGGCAAACGTAGCTTCTAGTCAATCACCGTTCGGGAATTCTGTTCATAAACATAGCAGAAAATAGAATGTTTAAATGACAATAGTCCATTTTGTGCCATTCTAGATTGACTTTGGTAAGTTAGGTAAACACTGTAATATTTTCTTCGTTTTAACCTGCGGGCTGAAAGAAGAAAATATAACAGATTCTTCCATTCATGCTAAATAGTGTGAATGAATGAATCCCCTGCTGTCTCAACTGCCGCTGTCAGAATTCCCGAATGGTGATTAACTACAAAGATTTTCCATCCGGCTCCTTCGATCTTCTGATTGAGGGATGTCAGACAGAAGGGTGCCGGCAGCGGCACTCACAGCGCAAATTTCGGACGGTTCATCAAGAACCAGCCGAAATTTGCATAGTGTATACTCTACTTTAGTTGTGACTATCCCTAGGCTTTGTGACTGGGGCTTGCTTCTCTGCTGCTACCCCACCAGATTAGGTCTCCATCCATCCCGGAACTTCAAGAATTTGACAATGTTAAGTCCATTCATGCCCAAGCAGCTCTTCATCATCTCTACGTTAAGGTCATACACTAGTTGGCCATCCACCTGAGATGCTTCAAAAGCTTCCGTGTATTGGCTCATATTGAGAAACGTCAGACATTCACACACCTGTTTCACAGTCAGATTGTGAAGGTCCTTTGGGACGTCATGAATTGATTTAAAGGAACTTACTGATGGAGATTCTGTTTTCACTGTATTTCGGGTCTGAAACAATTGCAGAATGTCTTTTGTGACATTGTGAACTGGTTTCAAGGAACTTACTGATGGAGATCCTGTTGTCACTGTATTTTGGGTCTGACGCAATTGCTGAAGGTCTTTTGGGACATCAAGAACTGGTTTCAAGGAACTTACTGATGGAGATCCTGTTGTCACTGTATTTTGGGTCTGACGCAATTGCTGAAGGTCTTTTGGGACATCAAGAACTGGTTTCAAGGAACTTACTGATGGAGATCCTGTTGTCACTGTATTTTGGGTCTGACGCAATTGCTGAAGGTCTTTTGGGACATCAAGAACTGGTTTCAAGGAACTTACTGATGGAGATCCTGTTGTCACTGTATTTTGGGTCTGACGCAATTGCTGAAGGTCTTTTGGGACATCATGAACTGCTTTCAAGGAACTTACTGATGGAGATTCTGTTTTCAGTGTATTTGGGGTCTGCTGCAAATGCTTCAGTTCTGACACTAAATGAAATTCATACACATTGGAGCTTCTGGTTTTTTTCTGAGGTGTCTTATCCTCCTTGGTGAGTTCACTGATGTCAATATATATTGGCTCAATGGTGCTGTAGCTGGGCTCTTGAGGATTGACTTCTTTTTTATCTAGCATTAAAATCTCTGCAGAGAAAGAGTGAGATGACACGGTAATTAAATGTATAGTTAATGTCCCTGTCTTTATTATCTACTAAGAAGCCATGCCATGATAAATATATAGAACAATAATAACCATTTAATGCAGAATTTCAGCTAATAATACTAATAATAACAGGATAAAATTCAAAGTAAAGGATAAAATAACAAAACCAGCTTGTTGCATTATTCACCCTTAATGTAGATATTTCACCTGTAGTACTTGCTTTCTGCCAGTAGATGTCCCCAGTCTGATGTCCAGCATCATTCAACACACTTCCTCTAAACCCAGGTTGTCCTGGACCCGCCCCAGTCTGTGACTGGACAGTGAACAGAGAAGCAGGAAAGTGATGGTCTCACCTCCCCGTCAGTCTGCTCTCTCCTCTATCAGAAAGCTTCTTGTCAGCACATAAACTGATTGGCTCCTCTCTGCTGAATAGGGAGTGTAAATTGCTGGTGCCAGGCGAAATTCAGGTACTTACACAACTTGCATTTAAAAAAACAACCTTCACTGGTGTATGAACCAATGCTGAATTGGTATGTAAGTTGGAACAGGTAAATTTTTTAAGTGTAACTCCAGCCCAACATTTTTTTTTGTTTTGGATAGCATAGGGAAGGGTTAACCCCGTGTAAAGTTAGTTTTGCTGTGTGTGCCCCTGTTCACAAAATTAAAAAAAATTACATGTTTTTGCCTGAGGAAGGGGATCCTGCGTGACCCCGAAACATTGCTTTAGTGTGACATGCTGCACCCATGTCAATAAACAGACTATTTGAATTGTAATTGGAGTGCCGGTATCCCTGTCTCTACCTGTACAGAAGATTTCACCTCACTTTGTGTCCCTGTGACAATTGGATTTTGAAAATTTTGGGTTGTCGTGGAAACAAGGATTGTTGATAAAGCTTCAGTGGAGACAACTTTTTCCAATTATCACTTTTAAAGGAGTGCATTTCCATTCCTAGGGGTAGATTTCCTGTCACTTCCTGTTTTCTCAAGGACAGGAAGTGAGATTAAATCTTTCTAATGAGGATACAGACAGTAGTAAAAACCTCACAGTGACCCAGATACCCCTTTATGTTCTTGACTTTTTGCTTAACCTGTCAGTCACTGCATGCAGCATACACGCTGTATGCAGCTTTTGACATGTTCCACTATTAGCGTAGCAGGAAAGCTGGGGTCTCAGGTTGGCTCCGCAGGATCTGTGGTGGGCTCTGCAGGGTCTATGGTGGGATGTGAAGGATCTGTGGTGGGCTCTGTAGGGTCTCGGGGGGGCTGTGCAAGATCTATGGTGGGCTCTGCAGGCTGCTGAGACCCTGCAGAGCCCACCATAGACCCCACCTTAGACCCTGTGGTCTGCAGGGTCTCAGAGGGGCTTTGCAGGATCTGTGACGGGCTCTGCAGGTTGCAGAACCCCCTTCAGACTTTGCAGAGCCCACCACAGATAGAAGTAGATAGAAGAGGTTTGGCCGGGAAGGCTGTACTGCACCCGCGGCAATTAAACACTAATCCAGAACATTTTCTAAATTGCCCCTCTCACCGGACCACTGGTGCTGCGGGCACTTCCGGACCCCGACCGGACTCCCATCTGACGCCCGACTGGCGCTTCGGTACACGGCTTCTTCAGCCGCCCGACAGGACTTGCGGGGATCCATCCCGCCCCCTTCTCCTACTGCTGCTCCTCCCCTCTGCCTCCGCCTCATCCTCCTCGTTTAGGCAGCCGAGGCTGCCGAGATCTGAGCAGTCATTGTAAAGTATTCTTAAGTCGGGTATACACAGTACGAATTTTGGCCAGTTCCTGTTAAACTGGACAAAATTTGCACATTGGGTGTCGCTGCCGGCACCCTTCTGAAGGTAATCCCTCGATCAGCAGATGGAAGGAGCAGGTTGGAAATTCTCAGTGGAACGGTGCTTGCAGCCAATCAGCTCCAAGCTCCATTCGGGTATCCTGACCGGACACAATAGAAACAGTAGGGGATTCCTCGATCAACACTCTTAAGCAAGGAAACGGTTATATTTCAAACAGTTCAACCTGCGAGCGGAATGAAGAAAATATACGTGTGTATACCTGGCTTTACTCTTCCTACTGCAGAAAGAAATGCACATTTTTGATGCATTCCAGTGAACTTTTTTTATTATTGGTTTTGCTTGGGTTTCAAGCGCATTCCCGTGCGTTCTGGTGCATTTACATGCATTTTTGTGCACAAAAATGCAGCATGCTGGACTTTTTAAAAAAAGCTCTGAAACTGAATGCAATGATGTGAACTAGCCTCATTTAAAACCATTGGAATTCCTGGCATTTTTGGTGCAGATATAAAAAAACTCACCGGTTTGGAGGTGGTGTGAACAGGCCCTTAAAGAGGAAGTAAACCCAACTAGCGCTTACTCCAAAAAATCTGAACTGCATATTTATAGGCTCAATAACTATGCTGTAATGCCCAGTTTTTAATTCTGAAACCAACTTCTGTGTTCTCCTCCAATTTTTTTTTGTATCTCGAGATAATACGATCTGGTATAAGGTATAAAGGATTACAGCACTGCTCACAGCAATGTAGCACATACTGCGCATGCGCCAGTGATGTGATTGAGAAAACAAAGAAAGGGAATTGATTTGAATGACCTGACAGCTATCAATGGACACTATTTCAGATCGGAAAACGTTTTACTTATGAGTTTACTTCCTCTTTAACACACGTTTCAATGCACTTTTTATTAAAGATCAACACACATCATAATGCACATCAAATGCACGTTGACATGCTTCTTAATGCAAGCACTGACATGTGTTTTGGTGTGTTTTCATTGACTTTAATGGACAACACATCAAAGGATAATGCGTAGGTGTGAATTGAAACAGCTGGATAGAAACAAAATAATTGAATAATATTTTCAAAGTAACATTTTTGTTGTGACAGAATAGCTAGTTTGCTAAGAAGCTTGTCTGTCTATTTTTGATACATCATATTTCCACAAGCTAGACACAAGAGATGGTACATGATGCACCTTCTCTATTGCTGCCTGTACTTGTATGTTTAACCAGCAATGAACTTACCCTCAAAAGTGACATTTGCAGTACTGCCGTAACTGTTGACTTGTTGGGTAAATAAGCCGCATAACCAGTTCCATTTTTCTACATTTCCGTTCCCAAGTCCAAATGCCACCACCAATTTTAGCTCTGTCATGTACATTGGAATGATTATAGGATCTTCTACATATAATCTACCTTTATAAGAAAATGGGGAAAAAAACCCTCAATTATTATGCTTTCAAACTAATTTAGTTACATAGTAGTGGTGCTTACACAGCAGGGGGGTCAATGGAAACATTTAAGGACGTATTGGTACAATAAACTCTTTCCAATGTTTAGAGCCGGCATGGGACAATGTAGCTGTTAACACCGTGTGATAGCAATAAAGTTAAGTGCATTAAAAATAGTGAAAAAGTTAAAAAAATTAAAGTGACATATATAAAATGTTTTTAAAGCTCTCCACCCCAACGTACACGCACATACAAACATGTGTCGGGTGCTCCTACGTGCAAAAACTACAATTGCACCACACATATTACATATCGGTGTTAATGTTGGAGTGAGCACAACAATTCAAAGGCCATTACTAACTGATGGCTCTAAATGGATTAGCTGTAAATGCTTTTAAAGTGTCACAAATAGACAATTTTGGGTACCATAGTTTTTTGCCATTTCACAGGTTTGCAATTTGAAGGTTTGCCGTGTTTGGTATCGATTTGCCTGATGCAACCTCATGTTTTATCATTTACAAAAAAAAATGGCTATTATATGCTGTTTGGTGGCACTAAAATTCATTTTAATGTATTTTTTTCCTAAACATATTGATTTAATATTGATATTGGTCCAGTTGTGAAGTGATTAAGGCCTGGGATTCCCGCTGCAAGAACCTATGTATTCCTGCAGCAGGAATCCCATGTTTCCACTGTTCAAATGTGGGCACTGTACCCATTGAGGTTAATGACAGGGTGACAGTGGCCGCACCACTCAGCCGATGGAATAGAAGATTGTCGCTATCTATATTACATTCGGACTGCCGCTGGCAGATGCAGCCGCTGTCACTCTGTCCTTTACTTCATGGGTACAGTGGCCACATTTGCACCAGGACACCTGAGATTCCCCAGGAATCCATAGGTTCTTGCTGCAGGAATCCCAGAAGTCATGTGTGAATGTAGCCTTAAGAAGAGCTGAAGTCCGGAAGATGTGCCTCAAAAAAGTTAGGCAGAGGGCAAAGGAATAGTTATCAGTATTGCCTTTGGCTTCCGTGACTTACCATTCCTTGCTCTTTATTGTGTCTCTGTTTGGAGGCAGCCATCTTGGTAGAGTCAGGACTTTTGCTTTCTGATGTCACAGCCTCTAGAAACAACTGTGAGTAGCATAGTTGTGCCATTACCAAATCTTCTGAGACTAGTATTCGGAGGCAGCAGAGTCTTAGATCTCACACTGCAGATATACACCTATGAGGCGGTAGGTACAAGATACCAAGTACCTTTTCCAAGTTGCTGTTTAGGCACATTTAACATTTAGAATTTGACCTATAACCTAGCATATCCTCATTTTTTGAGTTCAGTTCAACTTTAACTGTACAGTAAGCAGTGTCATACACCTTGCCTGTGTTGGAGACGGGGCTGTGTAAATTTCAGGATTTGACGTACAGAAATGAAAATCCTTTGGCAGATAAAACCTGTCCATTATATTTATCTTATCTGTATATTCAGCTGTTTGCCCGCAGTTCAGCTTGAAGTGTGACCAAAGTAATTTAGCCCACATAACCGACTAGATAAAGAAAAGATGTGCCCAACAGGTTTCATCATCTGTTGTCAGAGAAAGAGAATGTGACAACAGAAAAAAGCTCTAATCAAATAACAATGATGCCATCCACTATGCATCCATGCATTTTGTAAATACATACTCCAACGGCCTTCTGACATCACTCATCAATGCACACTCAATGTCACCATACACACTTCAATTAGCCCTGCAGCACTGTTAAAGGAAACTTGTCTATCCTACTTTACAATGGCAGCTCTCAAAGCAATACACCATGGAAGTTCTTTGACCTGATAAATAACTTATATATCAGGGGTGGGCAACTCCAGCCCTCCAGCTGTTGTGGAACTACAAGTCCCATGAGGCATTGCAAGACTGAGTTACAGGCATGAGTCTCAGAGGCATCTTGGGATTTGTAGTTAAAGCACCGCCGGAGGGCCGGAGTTGCTCACTCCTGTTATATATAGCCACAACTGACTCATTCTGGGGGCCATTAACTCCTTACTTTCAGTCATCGTAATAAAAAATAAAGTTGTTTTTTTCAGAACTTCCTTCAATACCCAAAAGCCATTCATAATTTTTATACACTCCAATCACTACACATAAATTTTGGGAACCAAGATATTTAGGGATGGGCATTTTTTTTTATATATATACATACATATATATAATGTATGTATGTATTGGATTGAAAACAAAATATACTTTATTTCATTTTTAAAATACTGAGGCCAGTCAGTGACTTTCGCCAATGTCTCAAAGCCCCCATTTCAAGCTTCTGGAATGTATAAAAGGAAGACAAATAAAACCTTCAATCAGGTCCAGTGGAGCTTTGGTATGTAAACAACAGATCCATTTTGCTTCTTCTTTTAGCAATAGCAATACTAAGAATAATCTAATATCCAGATTATATCCAGATTATTATTGATTTCACTTACCTTTGTCAATAGGATGTCCAAATAAAAACATTTCCTCATAAGTATCTTGTAGTGTCAGCTCAGATAGCATTTCATCATTAGATTTTAAATCCCCCTTTTGCTTATATGATAAAACGGTGGATGTTTGGATAGTAACAGGTAGGCTATATTTAGCTAATATCTCTTCAAGGGTCATGGGATGTTGATTCCTCAAAGCTGTAGAAAGGAGTGAAGGAAAACATAGTTGGAAAGAATACAATTTTCAGTGCTTTCTCCATCTTTCTGAGCTATGAGAAACCTGCACTGATAGAAATATGCAGGCAGCCATTTCAAAACTCCTTCTGAAAATGCAAGCTACCTGGCTGTTTTTGGCTTCAGGATTTTTTTTAGTCACTGACTATGAAAAAGAAACATGCAATCACAGTT